ATTTTAATATTGTAAATTAATTTAGATGCCTCAACTACTTGTAAATAAATAATTATCCAGTCACAAGAGATGTGTATTAAAGTATAATTTCGCTGTATATTTAATATTTATTTGTTCCATTAGTTAGAAATATTGTGCTAAGTTTGTACCCATTGACATTGGGGTTCAGGCTGTTACATATCCCACCCAGTCACTGTCAGTATAAGTATTTAGTTTTAGCTCAAATGTATTTGAGTAAAATAGACCTTGACCTGGTGTATCCTTAACATATCTTAAGACTTTGTATGCAGCCCTTAAGTGATAGTCTCTAAGACTCTCCATGAACTGGCTTAAAACTTGAATAGAGTAAGCCAGATCAGATCTTATCAATCTGAGGTATAATTTTCCAATTAACCTCCTGTACATCGTTGGATCTAGTCCTGGCTCTCTTTCATCGTTTGAAAGTTTAATATTTTGGTATAAGGGGAGCGATGAGATTTTGCTTCCTAAAACCCCTGCATCTTTCAAATGGTCTAGGGCATATTTCTTATGACATATAAACCCCTCTTTTTGACCTAGCAACTTCATTGTTAAGGAAATACTTTAAATTTTCTAAGTCCTTAATTTTATATTTGTTATCCAATGCTATCTTTAATTCTTTAATAACATATTCATCATTACTTGCCACAATAATTTCATCAACATATATAAGTAGTATGGTAAAGTTCTCACGAACAAATTATAGTTTTCCCTTGGATTGCTTGAATCTTTGTTGAGTAATAAACTCAAGAAAATTTGGCATACCACTATCTGGATGTTTGCTTAAATCCATACAAGCTTTTTTGAAGTCTACATATTTTCCCTTATCACTTTTTAAGATACCCAGGAAGAAGCTCCATATATGTTTCCTCATTTAAATCTCCACGTAAAAAAACGTTGTTGACATCTAACTGTTGAATGTGTCATCTTCTAATTGTAGCTAGAGCTAACAATACTCTTATAGAGATGATTTTAGCCACAGATGAAAATATCTTGTGATAGTCTAGACTTTCTCTTTGAGTGAAGTCCTTAGCAATAAGTCTAGCTTTGTGTCTTTCAATGGTCTCATTTACTTTGAATTTCACTTTATATACCAACTTACATCTTATTGCTCTCTTCCTTGTCGGTAAATCAACTACTTTCTAAGTCTTATTTTCTTCAAGAGCTTGGAGTTCGTTTTCTATGGCATTTCTCCAGTTTGAGTCCTTGTTGGCCTTCTCATATAAACTTCATTCATTATGGGATGCTACAACAAGTATGTACTTCTTGTGTCCCCCCATAAGTCTACTATATGCAACTTTCCTTGATAGGGGAACGACACCACTACTGCGAACTTTGGATCAAATAGTTTTATGCAATTGTTGTTCCCTTGAATCTGATCACATATGTAGTCCCTTAAGTATTCTGGTGGCCTCTTTGTCCTTGTTGATTTTCTTCTTAGAATCTCATCGTCATTCATATGGTCTTCTCTTCTTTCTCCTTCCCCATTAATCATTTTTTTATTGTTGGATACCTTTTCTATCTGTATGAGGTCCCTAACCTCTATATCTGGGCTATCTTAACTCATTACTTAGTTCCTAGTGTTGTCTTGTACAAAGATGTTTAATTTTAGTCGTCTATCAACATATTTCAAGACTAATGTATAGTTACATATCCTTTATACACTTTTTTTCTTTGTGAGTAAATATTTTTTGATAAAATATTATATTTCTAGAAATAATAACTTCACCAATCTCTTTATCTAACAATTTGTATCCTTTTGTACTAGAAGAATACCCTACGAACACACATCTTCTTACTCTTGCATCCGAAATTTTCTTTCATTCCAATCAATAAAAGTAAACACA